TCTCTTAATCTAACACTCTGCTCAGCCCTCCCCAGTCAGTCTCTTTCAGCTTAAAGCTGAGATGCGTTTGTTTGGCTAAACAGCGTCTGGGTGACTGAGAATCTTTCTAAAGGGACCAAAAGTTTGGGATTTTGATTGAACTTGAACTCCTCTAACAGGTATGTGTGTGTGTGGGGTTGTTCATCAGATATATGCATATTCTGGATCCTGTGTTTTCATGTTAATATTTGTTATTATCTAGTCTTACTGCTTAAAACATAAGACAAGCATTACTCCAGTCATTTTTTAAACTCTGATAAATGGAAAGGCATGATGATCAGCATGTTTTTGCATTTTGCTGGATGTTGCTAGAATAATGTCATGCAGTGTTCTCTTGAACAGTGCCGCTATCAAAGGGGGGCTAAAGGGGCACCCTAACATTTTTCTGGCCACTCGAATAACTTTACCAGCGTGATAATCTAATATAAATAGCAGCAATTCATGACTCTAAGATTCCATGTATTCTTTTTATCTGTGTCTGTTTCTTTTATTTTTCTCAGTTTTATGTCTATAATTGCCATGCTTTGAGCACATCATACACAATTTTTTTGTCGCTTTTAACACTATTTTCCAATCGTGCGACAAGTTTTTGGGATCGGGCCAACTCTTGGCAGAATTGTGTTTCGTGCATCTTGCAGTACAAGGAGGTCACAAGAGGCGACTGGAACCTCATGGCGAGCTCCTGATCAGAATTCATGGGGCGCTGAAAAATTTATCCTGTTGGATATTTTGCATGTTTAAGCAGTAACACGACCAAAGTGAGAGCTCTTTCCTCTGAGATTTTTTACATTACACATTCTTTCTTCTTCTTCTGTTACTAGCTACCTCTATTTATTGCGTTGCATGTTGTGATAATTCAATACCCCGACCTTTCTTTAAGGACGTACAGTGTGAGTAGTCAGATCCCATCCGAGTGTCGGGTCATACAGTGTTAGGATTTACATTCAAAACTTTGAACTTTTAAACTCTGCGATTGATTCCTGCAATTTGAGTTTGGTCTGGGAGCAACAATTTAAAATATCGCAGAGTTTATTCTAGGCCTTATTGAGCTGTCACAAGTTCTGGCCCTTTTATTACCATCTGCCATAAAACAAAAGTAATATTAATTCTATTTTGTTCTGCTACCCCAAAATGATCAACAGCAGACATTCCTCCTTAAGAAACCAAACACTCTTAAAAAAAACTGGACTATATTGTAGATTTGACTGGTCTGAGTACTGTAGTTTTTGGACTTGAGTTGTTCAAATACAGTCTAGTTTTGTATAATTGTAAAGAAAGAAAATCTTAACTTTTATTCAAAGAAACCAGAAAATAATTTTCATAAAAATATTTATAAACTATACGGACTACATACAGACTAAACTTTATGTTAAATGGCACCTATCAGTTAGCAGCTGTCCAGTTTTATATCCTAGATCTATATCTATCTCTCTCTCTCTGTGCTTGCAGGGTTGATTCACAGTTCTTTTTATTTAAGGGCGAAGACAACATCTACATTTTGATTCCTGCAGATATTTGATTATTGACATTGCCTTTGCCTATAAAAGGTCAAGATTTCAGCTGTGTTTGTGCAGAAACATGACAGTTTAGTCAGGACTGACACAACAGAGCCGCTGTGTCGATAAACGATCTGTTTGTGCTGGTGAGGCACATGAAATCTTCCCTGTTTACATTTCTGTGTTTGTGTGTGTGGCCATGCAACTGTTATCTCGTGGCTACAGTTTAAGGTCAAATTCCCAAGAATCTGCTATATTATAAGGACTTGCAGGTACCCCTGGGGACCAGTCGACAGGTTATATGAGGAGAAATTCTCTCCCTGGGTAGAGGTTTGGTTTTAAGCCTAAAGGTTTAAATTGCTTGTAGGTTTAGGGTCAAGTATTTAGTGATCATGGTTAAATTTAAGGTTCTTCCTGAGCACCTTTACGCACTAATCTATGTGAAGCATATTGTGTTGATCTTAATGAAAACCAGCCAGTGCGGCCTATTAATTCTCAGGACAATGGCCAAGATAATGATGCTTTATTAGATTGATAAAAACTGCTTTAAGATGTTCATTCAAATGCCTCAACAGAACAGAATAAAAAAAAAATCTATCTATCTATCTATCTATCTATCTATCTATCTATCTATCTATCTATCTATCTATCTATCTATCTATCTATCTATCTATCTATCTATCTATCNTATCTATCTATCTATCTATCTATCTATCTATCTATCTATCTATCTATCTATCTATCTATCTATCTATCTATCTATCTATCTATCTATCTAGCTAGCTAGCTAGCTAGCTAGCTAGATATTAAGCTAGCTAGCTAGCTAGCATAATATCTTAACATATTTGTTGCTTACATCTCGGCTGGCCTGGGTAATATCATGACCAGTAATTAAATAGAGAAGAAGAACTTATCAAAATTGTTTACTTCTTTGGTTTCTTCTTTCAAATCCCTTCACTTTACAATTTTGAATTTAGCACGCTCTATTTAAATGTGGCTTTTGTACCTGAAGAAAAAAATGTAATTTATTAATACGTTTTTTGATGGCAGCACCTGTTAGGAAGAGAAGTCTATCGTCAGCAAATTGGTCAATCTTTAGCAGTGAAATAAAGTATTTGATGTAAGATTAAAGCAGTGGGAGATTGTCTTATTTCAGGAGGAAACACATGGATATCTTCTTATGAGAAAAATAAATTGAAATATCTATCTCTTTTATGTTTTTCTCTATCCAAGCTCCAAATGTATTTAAATTTCAAATCTCCTACTTAATTTAGTAAATTAACATTTACCTAATTTACTGTTCTCTGAAGCAAAATGTGTTATAATGCATTTTTCTCCTCTTTTTTTTACCCAATTCATCTATAAGGCAAAGTTAGAGTTTACCTTGTTTTTAGCTCAAGATCAAAGACCTTCTTACTTTACCTTTTTTACCATATTTCCCCCAGATTAGGTCATTTCATTTAAATCCAAAAGAAATGAATACAAAAATGTTAGAGATACCCAATTATCTAAATCTCTAACTTTGACGGTCACCATTTAGTCTCATTTGCTTTGTGTGGTTAAGCAGTGACATCATGATGAAGGGAGCAAACGGACAAGAAGACAGAGAAGCATGTAGAAACTTGGTGGACCAGAGAGGAGATGTCAAATTGTTTGATCCTATAAGTAGATGAGAGGAGTGATAAGCACCTGTTGTTAGAAAGTGTTTTCGTAACCTTATCAGGAGGCAGAGCAGACTGATCCACACATGCATATGCATTTTTTTGTTGCTCTTATGAATATACATTTGAGTCTTTCATTGTCAGTGCAGCAGGTGTTTCTCTGCAATGACTGTTCTTTATGTTAGTACACATGTTATGCAGATTTTAACACTTTGAACATCCATTTTTAATGCAATTTAACCAAACATTGGGCTCCTGATTATTTCTAAGAATAAAAGTATACCTCCCCTGTCTTATGTCCCTAGTTCCCATCTTATCTGGCTCCAAACTCTTTTTTTTTCTTCTTTTTTTTGATTCACATGTGGAAAATGATCTTGCAAGCTGGGCATAATGGGCTTCATTGCTCAGACTTCCTGTGTGGGCTGGCTATCATGTGGAGCGAATTGTCTTGTTTCCTACTTCCTGCTATTGACAGCAGGCCATAACTAGATGTGGTATAAGGAGGGAGTTGGGCGAGAATGGCGTTTTAAAACTAAAACAGGCTCTGAGTCTGCAAATCAGCAAACCCCCTGATGGTTCATATGAGCGCATTCTGGTAGTAAGACACTTAGGGTGTGGTTGAATTCAGTCACAGGGCGGTTATATATTATGACCCTACTTTGTTGATATATAGCCATCGTAAAGGCTCACAAAGCAAAGGGGACAAATTAAACTTGGCATGTCTTATTATTGACCTTTACTTACAATGAAGTCAGAGTACTTACCCATTTGATGGCATTTTAGCAAGTGTAACTATAAACATTTTTAGTTTCAACTCTAAAATTAGATGGTTGTGACGGGTAGCATTGTTTTACTGGCTTTCCTTTGGCTCAGTGACACAGAGAGCCACTGACACTTCAAGGTGACAGGTTAGAACAGGATAAAAATAATATGGGAGTATGTCATTCAAGCTGCACAACCATAAATGAATGTAAATACCTTGTGAAAGCAACATGTGTAATTAACCTCAAATATCTACTTAAGACATGCATATATTTTTCTTGTTTTCTAATACATTTAAGTTCTTGTAAGTCAGAAATTTGTAGAAATAATTTGTAGAAAGAAAAGGAAACTTTGCAAATATATGGACACAAACTCTGGTTTATCTTGTCAGGGAGAGACAAAGAAATTCAGAGATTACTCAGACAGAAAATTAAAAAGGGTTCTAATTTGATATGCCTTTGTTTGAATTTGTGTGTAACCTCAAAGAATGATGACCCACAAAGAGAGGTAATGTAACCATGAGGGGCACAGATAGGTTTTTTTGCATTGTTTTGGTGTATAAATTACAAATTTCATAGAAGCAATCACTTCCATTGTAATCACTCTATCAATAGGAACAGCAAAAACAAAAAAAAAAGAAAGAAAAGGAGGGGGGTTGTGGCCTAGTGGTTAGGGCATAGAGCTTGGATTCCTGAGGTTTTGAGTTTGAGCCCCACTCCCATGGACTGCCACTATAGGTCCATGAAGACCCTTAAAGACCTTTAACCCCACACTGCTCCCCGGGCGCCGCAAAAAGGCAGCCCGCTGCTGCGATGTGAGATCAACGAAGTTCAATTATTATTATTAAGACATTAGAGCTAAAGAAGAAGTTCAGGTTTAAAATGTTAGTCCTTCATAAGGTCAGTAGGAAACAACAAAACCTTCAAAATAAGGCTTAGTGAGAAAAATAAAATCCTTTGGATATCAAACAAGCGAAAGATATTAATTGATCATTCTCCTTTGGAGCTTTAAAAGCTGATTATGTTTGGTAAGGCAAATAAAAAAACATTATGGATCATCCCATGGTTACAGAAAGGGAGCCTATTATTGACGAGACGCTGGAACACAGTGAAAAGAAATCAGTTACAAACACCCTGCCATAGTTTGACTGAGATACTGTGCAGGTGGAGTAGGAACAGTTGCAGATCTGTCTTATTGTCA